AATATATATTTATATATTTATAAATAGAATGCTGCATTAAACCTCAAAATGAAACAGTTATTACTTCACCTATAATATGTTGTGTGAATTATTAATATTATGTCTTGATTGATAACAGTGCCTTTAATTGTAGAATTATGTTTTACAAAATATAGTGAAAAATAATCAATAGTAATCTTAAATAGTTTTACAAATTTGGCCAATAGCTCTTGAGTAATTGAAGGCTAAATCCAGCACATCTATAGGTCAAAAATAATATAAAATGAAAGGATTGAAACTATCAAGCCACGCATTTATAGTAATTATTTTTTGGCTGGTAGTATTTGTTGCCGAAATTATAAGTAGTTATATAGTTTTGATATGTATATATAAATAGACATTCCCTTTTTACCTTTCTTATTAGGATGCGCTATTTTTTTGTAGACATGAAAGTTTTGACCCCACCAAACATTATTACTAATCCTCTCTAAATCATGAACATAACCAACAATAAATTACACCTGCACTAGAAAAAATGCTGCTCCAAAAACAAGTTAAACAATAATGAAAACAAGCCGTTTTCACTTGGAATAAGTACAAAAAAGTGAAAATGTGCTTGGTAAGATTTCTTGAAATAAGAAGGGATATTTAGATACATCATCTTGTAATTAGCTGGGAGAACTCATTTTGAACTATATTTTACCAGAATCAAGAAATGTTGTGTTACAATATGAGCCGCAAATGCTCAAAAGTTTTCAGTTTTCTGATGTTAGTTGGTGATTTTCTAATAAATGTGTAAAGAAATATGTGTTTCATCTGAGATACAATTTTCTTTTTGACTTAACAAGATGATGCATTGTCCAAAAACAAGACCCGATATCTCACTGCAGTGTTACTTTTGAAGTTATTATGTCTTATATCAGGTGTAAAGACATATTCTGACTTGATATTAGAGAAATATACTTGGCAAGATTTCGAGTTTTTGTTGTGTGTTTCTTGTGCTTCAGTTTTCCAGGTGAAGGTGCTGAGTGTGACTCAGAGTTACTACGACAAATACGAGATGGAGATCACACAAGTTATCAAACTGGGTGAGTCTGTGGTTTATGGTTAACAGGTTTTTATGTCAAATTAAGGTATTGTAAGAACATAATTGCCCCAGTACAAGATATCTACCAAGTAAAATACTTTAATGGAATACTTCACCTACAAAACACATTTGTATATCAATCACTCACCCTTAGTTACTTTGAATTCTTGAAAATAACCAGAGAACAGTCTGAATGTTTTAAAATAAATGGGGGATGTGTCAGCAACAGTAAAACTGTTTAAAAAACAGTTTGCTATCTCTGACATAAATCAAGCTGTATGATCAAATTCTCATTTATATTCTCACTATTTACTTGTGAATTTTCATATACCCCAGTTATTAAATCCAACAAAACGTTTCTTCCAATGTATCGTTTTCCATTTTTCGATTGTTTGTTAACTTTGAAAGGTTATTTTCTGCAGTATTCCAACATTCAGAGGAGAATTCCCATTGGCTTTTTGTCAAAGGAAAAATTGCTAGCTTCCGAGTCGGCCTACACAAATACGTCATCACTCCACCTCTCTATAATGCCTCTGTACATAAACTGAACCTCTTCCTGCTTCCCTCCAGGTGTGGAGTCTGGAGTTGAGGTGGGTCAGAAGAGGGTCTTCATGTCTCACGGAGGCTGCAGAGATGACCTGAACCTGCAGCAGGGCTCCCAGTACCTCGTCATGGGGCCCAAAGTGGACCAGTGGAACATCGACACTGACACCAACAGGTCAGCAACTAAAGGATTAGTGATGTTAAGTTCGCGAACGATCCGATTCCTTTGAACGGCTCTTTTGGTGAATGAAGGGAACCGAGTCGTACTTGGTTCACTGCCTGCCATAAATCCACTCGCCTTTACGGGAACTTGCTTTCCTGAATGCAAATGTCCCGTAGATGAAGGCATAACGCGTGCTGCTTCAGTAGTAGTTTGGCTGGCTGAGAGATGTAGCAAGGTGTACATTTTTCTGTGAGTAAAAGTAGATTTCTAGCAATACAATCAATCATTATCCTGGTGATAATTTTGCAGATAAACCTATTAACTCTGCCCGCTTAAAATAAAACGGCTCTTTTGAGCGGCTCTCGGAAAGGAACGGAGCCATAACATCCGGCTCCCTTCAAAGAGCCCTAATTCCCTTCACTATAAAGGATAAATAGACTCGATGCATAAAATATGTTGAGTTCTTGGTTGATTCTAGGAGTTGAAGTTTACTTATGGTACAACAGAGGGTTGGAGGTTCTCACTGTACATGGTTGAGTTTTAAAAACTATATATTTAAGCCGTCATATTTGGCTAATGTATGTTTTCGTGCTATCATGCAAACTGTATAAGGTACCAAAGAAGTACAAGTGGCATGCTTGCAGAAACCTGTAGGCTCTTCTATAGAACTTAACATTATAGCGGTATGCCAACTTATTAAAAGTCATGCCATCCTGAAAATCTAACTCAATTAATTTACAGGTAAATCTACTGTCAGCCATGTTTGTTTGCCCATATTAGGGGTAGAGAAAAACTTCCCCCCCAAAGACAAACTCTTTAAATAGTCCCTTTGTTTTTATTTCCCATACAATCCAAGTTTTAAGTTATTTATTAAAACAATTACAGAGAGGCAATTCAAATTTTCGATGTGGGTCTTTTTTCAACAATGCTCAATGAAAATGTATAAAAAAGAAAATAATGCAAGTAAAAAAAATTAGATAAGAAGTCCTGAAATTAAGATGTAGGAATACATAAAAACAATGATTTTTGGTAGGCACAGTAATTGCGAATGAATTAACTCTAAGGTAAACCTTTACTATATCCTTAATCCAAATTATAAATATGTACACAGAAGTGACAACAGTTTGGAAAACAGTTTAACGAAAGTATATAATGGTAAAAGGACAGTTTAATGTGCCATTAGTGATACATTAGTGAGGGACAGAGAAACATTTTATATAGTTAATTCCTTTGAACCATGAAACTGCAGTGTAAGACACATAAAAGTTATTTTGAAGAAGGGTGCAGATGCAAAATAAAACCTGTGAACTCGTCTCCTTCCTCCCCGTCCATTAGGTTCATCTACAATATATTTAGGATCAGTATAATTGTATTGATCGGAAAACCTGCCTTTCATTCAGCATATTCAGGCAGCAGCCTATACACCAACACTGAAACACATGAGCACATACTAGTTTATTAAACACAGTTAAGCTCACACATGTTATGAACATATAGGTTCACCTGCTGAATTCAAAACAGAACAAATGAACCAAAGAAAGTGAAAACCCTAAAGCAGAGAAGAGATAACATCTGATCCTTTAACAACAAACACTATATGATCTTTTTATCCTCCTAGTTTTAGAAATGTAACAGTAATCTGATTACATCTCTTTTTATGTAATTGTAAGGAAATACAGTTACCTTTATTTTGTATCCTGTTCAAATCAATCCGTTACTCCCCAAGCCTGCTCAGACATTACAAAACATTACATACATTTCCCTGGTAGAGTTTTAGGTTTTAGGGTCAAATATTTCAGAGGTGTGTTTCAGACTGTCTTCTAACAATGGTTATACGTCCTACTTGAGCTATTTGTAGCAGATATTTTCCCAATTTCTTGCATGTCTTCTAACTTCAAGCTCAAGGAGTACAACAACTAAACTGTGTGAACTCGTCTCCTTCCTCCCCGTCCATCAGGTTCATCTACATGTTGGGGAAGGACACCTGGGTGGAGCGCTGGCCGACGCCTGCAGAGTGCTCCAGCAGACCTGAACTGCAAGCTAAATGCAAGACCCTCCATGATACTGCAGAGGAACTCTCTGTCAACTCCTGCAGGCTGTAGAGCTGTGGGAGAGGCAGCTGCACACCTTCACCTGTGCCACTGTGAAGACAACTGTACACATGAAGATGCAAAGATCATTTTAGGGCTAAATCCTGTAGAAAAGGGATTGAATAACATGTTGTTTGTGTTTCAAAATGTAAAGAATTAACTGTAGGTGCAGTTTTGTTTGTCAACCCACACCCATAACGTTTTTTCTTTACTGTAATGATATCATAAAAGTAAAGACTAAATACGATAGCTGCCACAAATTAATAAAACATCACAGCTTCATTATTATAGCTTTTATTCAATGGTTTATTTTACAAAACAAATGAGTATGCCTAACATAACAAGAGCTCAAATAAAACGTACTGTTGACAAAGGTTTAAGTACAACATGATATAGCAAAACACATCGGTCTGCATACTCTTTATTTCAAATTGAAAGGTTATCTCATGTTTTACAAGTTAACAAATTAGTTACATTGTTGTATTTTTGGTCAAATGGAAAGTAAAAACTATTTTGGTGTCTCTTATTCCCTCTGAATAATGACATGTAGAGTCGTATCTATCTACTCCGTGCTTAAACACCAATCCAGAGAACAAATAAAAGATTTAAAAAGTGTGTCCTTGCTTCTGTACATTTTATTAAATAGGCCATTTAATATACATACATTATGTTTCAATAAAAGGCATTCAATAAGCTACATAGTCATTGGAGCCAACACAACAACAAGCTAAATGTTCAGTTAGTCTCAATGCTGTTGTCTCAGAAAGAAACACATTTCATTTATTACTAATTTCTTAAAAAGCTTTTAAGCACCTTAAGCACCAGCTCTTTCACTCTCTGTCTAAAACCAGAGCCCAGTCTGCTCCAATATGATTGGTCAACTGCTTAAAGATGTCCTATCACATACAATGTGTTGGAGCGCTAGCCAATAGGAGCCAAGTGTTCCAAAGGGATGTCATTATGTTAAGGAAGTAAACAAAGGAGTCCAATGGAGAAACTCCCTCTGGAGGGAACACATGGATGTTAGCCTTTGCAGACCATTTACATGCACACAAACCTACACACTACAGTGAAGGGAAAACCCAATAGGGTCCCTTTAATACAAATGATGGGCTGTAGATTCCTACTGTGTCCTGGTTTAGTTGATTGTGCTGTACAATGCAGTTGAGTACTCCGTGGCAGACATCTGACTTCTGTTTTTCAAAGAGAAACATTTATTTAGGAGTTTTGCAGATTAGATATCGTACAAATGGACAAACAGTGGTTGGAAAACACGTAAAATCACATCAGGCAGATGCAAAAGTGAACAGGTGTTGATTGTATTCCAAGTCATTTCATCGTTAAACTCAGGGTAATGTTCCTGTGAGAGTATCTACTCACCTCGGGGCAGCGCTGTTAAATTTGACCTCAGCGTACACAACACTATCCTCGATGTTGGAGGAGAGAGGATCTGCCTGGTTTTTGGAGAACTGGACACTGGCATAGAGAAGCTCCTCCGGAGGACTCTGAAGGGCAGATATTGCATAGACAAGATTACCTTAAAAGGGTTTGGGTCTGTGTTGTAGGGAATATGTGAAGGTTAAGAATACCCAAGGTTCCCTAAAACAATCTTGAACTTTACTTGAAGCTCTGTCTTGGAGCAGCAGTAGCTCAGTGTGTTGGCTTGGGAACGGAACAATTGCTGATTCAAGTCCTGATTGGACCAAAAAAACTAAATGTAGACTCGTGCCAGTTTACCTTCTGGGACTCTTTTTCTACTTTTAATGCATCTTTTAAGACATAAAGAGCTTTTGTGTAGCCCAGCGAAAAGATAAGATAAGATAAGATAAGACTTTATTCATCCCGAAGGAAATTGTTGTGCCAGAGCCACAAAAATACAACAAACACAGCAGCATAACAGCAAAACTGTACACTAAAAGTGCAGTAAAAAGAGCAATCAAACATCTACAAGAAACATAATTAATGCAAATATTACCAGTAATCAGTAGTGCAAAAAAAATATATATATATATCTGAACTGAACTGTTGACATTTTTTTTGCTTTTGTTGATTATTATTCCTTCTCACCTGTTTGCTGTTGTCCGGTGGCTCTCCGGGCTCAGATGATGGCTTGGCAGCTTTCTTCTTCCTGGTTAAAATAATTAAACATTGATCTTTTAGAAATGTGCTAAACTGATTAATGAAGACAATATTTGTCATGGTACTTGGTCATTATCCTTTCCTAATAACACCATGCAGTCAAATATCCAAGATAATTGCTGACTTCTGGAAAGCACTAAATTATCCTGTTCCACTCTGAGCCTGTTTTTCAGGTCTCAGGCTCGAAAATGACATTCCCAGAACAAATGACCATATCTTCCCTTCTAAAAGGGTTAAATTAATAATCTTTTCTCAAAGTAATGATAAACCTGTGAGTTGGATGTAGAAGTGTCAGAATCAATATAAATGTTTTTTATTTTAAAGAAAATTCAGATTTTACATAGTAAAAAACTGTAAATTATAGTGTCCGTCCAAAAATTATTTTTTACAGATAGTGAAAACTACCCTTGGATGATGGGTTAGTAGACTAAAAGCTTTAGGAATCCAAAGTACAACATATAATAAGTACCCTGTATCAAGATTGATGCAAAACAAGTGAAATTTGACCTTTTTAGAGAGATTTAGCCAAAAACTGGGCCATCTGTGGTCATTTGGGTGGATTTGACCTATCTCTGGCCCCCCTTGCTCGATCTGGTTGGTTGACATACCCTTGTGACCGTTAGAGCCAATAGAATCGAAGGAGGAGGCTCCCACCCAGACAGGTTGTAAAGAAAAAATGTTGCCGCTTCGCGTGTGGAAAGCGAAACTAAACTGGAGGAATGTCTCCTTCTGGAGTTTGGAAACTAAAACGCAGTTGTATTGCTTATGGATTATCAGAAATAATTTCAAAGAAGGCACAGACACATAGGATGAACCTATGGATTAACTGCAGCATCGTTTTTTTATCGTTTTAATGCCATTGAAGACCACTTTTGACCAAGGTGAGCCATATTTACATGTTTAGCTTCTTTGCTCCACATGTGATGATGTACGCTTTCGTTGATAGCGTCGCGAATGTTTATCACTGAGTGTTGAGGTGGGCACCGTTAGATTCAGTGTCTCCAGGACACCAAAAAATAGTGTTTGGTTGTGCATCTAGGATAAGTAATAAGGGAGTTATGAGTGAGTTTAAGTGCCTTAGTAGGTCCCGTTTTTTCGATCGAGGCTAATTCAGAGGCTGAGTGCTAGCATTGTGGGTTTTTTTTTGAAAAAAAAAATTAAAAAGATCAGTTAGCTGAGTTTCTTCCCGTTACATGGATATAACACATTCATAGTTTTATTCAATATTAAGATTCCTTAGACGTTGTTTCCTGCAAATGACGCGTTTATCCGCCCGGTACCGGGGGGAAGGCGTGAAACAGGATATACAAACTATTTCATGGTGTTCCTGACTGTGGGACCTGTTTTCATAAAAGAAACTCAGACTCATTGTTACATTTCAAGACCAAACACCTTTCTGCTTTCACATTCCAACACATATAACCCTCCATCTTGCGGTAACCATTACATTACATTTCACTTGTTAGATGCTTTTATCCAAAGCGACTTACATACTCTCAATACTGTGGACAATCCCCATGACATGTTGACTGCAGTGGGAGTTGACCCTAACTAATCTTTAATAGGATATGAGGATCACATTTCTGAAAATTCAGTCTGACAGTGAGTTTGAAGAAGAGGAAGAGATTGAGATGAGAGAGAGCTGTACAGTGTTGTCCTAATTTACATATTTGATTGCCCAATATTATCAAAAATATCCAACATACCGTGTTTAGTGCTTTCACTAAACATTACCTTAGTGAAAGTGGACTGCTTACCTAATCAATACAAATATAGAGAGAAGGATGACTGACAGGACAACAGCAGTGGTGATTCCAGCAGCTCTAGATTTCAATGCTCCTATGACAAGACGAAAAACACTGACAGTTAATTAAGCTTTTATGAATATGAATATGAATAACCTAGATCTTGCAATTCAATAAATTGTGTTTTCGGACAATCAACAAATATTGGTTCATTGTCTTTATCCAAATGTCCTTTTTCAAGCTCAACACAAGTCAAAAATATTGAACATGATCAGAAACAGACCTCAGAAAAACCTTTTTTGTTTGTGTATTTTCTTTTTCAAATGTCTGATTCAAAAGAGACCTGAGGTGCGTGTGAATTATTTTGAAATGAAACAAAGTAAAATAAGAATTAATTTGTCACAGTTGCAGTCGGACACATTATAAAAAACAAGTGAAGAGGTTAGTTTGCTTTCCAAGTTTACTCCAACAAGACCCAGACAACGTTAATTGTCATAATCCTGTTCTTATCATTTTGTTTCATTTTTTATTTTGAAATATATTTTCTCCTTCCGTATTATCTTGTTTATGACCTGTCTTTGTGTTTTCCCGCCTGTGTAATTGTCCGCCCCGCCCTGATTCTTTCCAGGTATGTGATCTTCTTGCTGCTCTTGTGTTTTTTTCCTGCCATCTCCAGCTTTGTCTTGTCAGTGTGATTAGTCCTGTATATAGGCATTGCATTTTCCTTGAACCTTGAAAGACCTTTGCTTATCTTAGAGTAGACTTGGTCTGAGCATTGGCACGTGAAATGTCCATCCATCAGAGGGTGTTTTACGGTCTTTACCGCATATTAGTTTGGTGTGTGTAAGTGAATGAAACCTACCAGTCACAACAATCTGATGTAAGGTGGAGTTTTGACGTCCTAACTTGTTCTGGGCTCCACAGGAATAACTCCCACTGTGTTCAGCTCTGAAGTCAGTGATGTTGAAGATCTGTCCTGAAGCTTTTGGAGAGTCTTCATTCTCCTTGTACCAGGTGTAGTTAGCAGCTGGGTTAGCATCACTGCTACAGGTCAGAGTCACTGAACTGCCCTGCTCTATCTCAGCAGAGGGACTCACTGACACAGAGGGGAGCTTTGGACCATCTGGAAGAGATTAGGAGAGAAATGTATTCATAATAAACACATGAAACAGACTCTACCTCCACAATGGCACAAAGCAACCAACGAATCCCGACTTATAAATACAGTGTTAGCATAAGAGAATTGCGGTTGTTAATTACTCACACTGGACATCTACAAACAGAGACGTAGAGTTGATCTCTCCATATTGATTCTCAGCCCTGCAGTAGTAGTTCCCTCTGTCCTCAGAGCTGATGGAGGTGAAATTATAACTTCCTACTGCTCCCTGAAACAGTGTTTGGTTTGCCTTGTACCAGGTGTAGTTAGCTGCTGGGTTAGCATCACTGCTACAGGTCAGAGTCACTGAACTGCCCTCCTCTATCTCAGCAGAGGGACTCACTGACGCAGAGGGGAGCTTTGGAGGATCTGGAGAGATTTGTTTACACGATTAATGACAAAATTGCACCCAGCTCATCAGGAAAACATCTCTCCATCAAGGGTCTCAAAATTAGCAGAATTTGAAATTGAAGTAAGTGAGAATCCTGAAAGACTCTTTTCAAGTGATTAAAACATGACAATTACAATTGATAAACTGTATTTCCTCACATTTCACATCAACAGAGTTCATTTCAGATGTCCGTTTCCCCAGCTCGTTCTCAGCTGCACAGAAATACTGTCCAGAGTCAGAAACCAGGATGGAGCTGAAGAAAAGCTTTGGTTCTGTAGTGAGAGGAGGACGTTTCTGATTTCCATTCTCCTTGTACCAGGTGTAGTTAGCTGCTGGGTTAGCATCACTGCTACAGGTCAGAGTCACTGAACTGCCCTCCATGATTTCATCAGGACTTACTGACACAACAGGAAACTTCAGAGCATCTGGAGTAGAAAACAACAATTTTGTGAGGCAAATGTTAGGTGCAATGTATCTGGAGGTTGATTCCTTAATGCGTCTCTGTTATGTCGTTCAATATAAATATTTATCTTAATTACACAGTGGAGCAAACTCACATAGCAAAGGAAAGCTGTAATTCTCGTGTCCTTTCAAAGCACAAGAGATGATGTCTCCAGGATAAAACCGGTCTTTATATAAAGATCTTTCCTCTTTGATGATTTTCTCGTTGTTCTTGAACCAGATGTAGGAAACACCAGCTGGACTGCAGCCGCTGTGACACTTCAGCTCTGCATAGGTGTAAGACTGGTGGACTGTTGATCTGATCACCTGCACCTGCAGAGCTGGATATGTTTAACATTACAAATCAAATGTGATAACCTTTAAGGTTGTAAGTGACATACTTTCAGACACAAAAAAATAACAGATATAAATCTAAACTTATGATATATACCACAAACAGAACTGGTAATGAACGTTAGCTACGAGAATCATTCAAACTTTTGTTATGGTTTAATATAAACTTTATTTCTAAGCATTTCTTTATACTACTTTGCCAAGTGTTCACAATAGTGATGTGTCGGTCGCGAACGAGCCGGCTCAAAGAGCCGGCTCTTTTAAGTGAACGACGGGAGCCGGCTCGCGCCCGCGAACGAGCCGTTTTTTGTTTTTGTTTGTTTTTGTTAAGTAATACAAGACAGAATGATATGATGATCTCCGCGCTACAGCTGCTCCGTGCATGCATGCAGTGACATGTAATATCCAAGGATTAGAGACTGTTGGATGCTGCTGTTTTGAGCATTGCAATACATTTATTTTTATTATGTTTTTTTTATGATTAGAGACGGTTGGATGCTGCTGTACTGAGCATTGCAATATATTTATGTTATTAATTTATGATTATCCTTGGGCTCAGCAAAGATTTGATGTCAGCTGTTGCTGTCTTTTTTTCTATAGTTAATACTGAAATAGAGCCCTGCTGTTTTGTCAGGGCCTTTTCTTTAAATATAATTTTAAAATGTCGATACAGTATCCCCTTTTTTTAAATGTCTTTGCTTAAGTTTTTATAGGTGTTGCTATCTGCTTTGTGTAGCGTGGTTCTACAAGCAAGTCAGTGCATTCATTGGGTGGTATCAGAGAGATACAAGGGTCTGTAAATGCAATGAAAACAATTGGCCACAGCAAATAATTGATATTAAACATGTAATTTTTACTTTTGAATACTTCAGTACAAAGGATGTATTGAATAATTTAAGTGATATGTGTACACATATAAATCATTTGTCAAAACAGGGCTACATTTGATTGAATTATAAAAGGTATAATATGTGGTAAACTGAAGAGCCGTTTGGGAGCCGAAAGAGCCGGCTCTTCTTGGTGAGCCGAGCCAAATGATCCGGCTCACCAAGAAGAGCCGGAATTCCCATCACTAGTTCACAACTTTTGTGTTGCAAAATAATACTAATAATAATTATATAATAAATAAATGAACAAGCTTTTTACTATTTTACTGTAGATAGCATACTTTAAGTCGTAGATTTTGATGCTAATACATTGAAAAGCCGTTTGCTAACCAAATAGCTATGCTAATGGGATTTTTACTTTTACTTAAGTACTAAATGAATGTTACTTGTAACAGAATTTTTTTACAATGTGGCATTACACATTTTTCTTTAATACTGTACATAACTTGATTCTTCTTCCTCTGATTAATTTAGATAATTTTCCTAATAATGTACAGAGTGAGCTATTAGGAAATGTAAAAACAAAACACTTAGCCAAAGCATTGTCATGAAAGCCTGGTAACCAAAAAGCTATTTCTATGTTCAATTGCATATCTACAATATTTTTTTAAACACATTAAAAATCATGATTAAAGCCAATATTTATAAAACCCTTCAACCACCTTATTAATATAGTGTTTTTTTTTCGTGTGTTATTTTTAATGAAACGGCTGCTGCTGTGAACATCAGTGTGTGTTGATCAGTACCTGTGACAGTTAGAGTTGTTCCAGGGAAATCACTCCTCCATTCAAAGCTTGGTGTTTTGAATGTGAAGAGATACTGAGCTGAATCTGAGTCTCTCAGGTCAGAGATCCTCAGAGTGGAGCGTCCTCTCTCTGTTTCAAGGATCTGAACATGACCTGCATACTGGGGGTCTTCACTAAGGTCCTCAGGTTGAGAGGGATTCTGTCCCTGATGACGACGCTCAGGACTGAACCAGAATTTAGATTTAACATCGTCTTCAAAGCTGCTGTACGTGCAGGAAATGTCCACTGATGATCCTTTGGGGGCACAGATGCTTCTCTCAGTGTAAATTACTCTGTTGCAGGTTTGACCTCTGACACCTGAAAAACAAAACAATTTCAAATGTTCTTCGTGAATTTGTTTTGGCAAAAAAGCGTTCGTTTAGGGCACAGGTGAACAATGGCAAACATAACTGTGTGCACTATTTTTAAAATGGACATGCTGTAATCCCTGTAAAGCCACCTGAGGCAATTTTGAGATTGTTGATATTGGGTTATATACTGTAAATAATAGTTTTGCTGATTGTTTCACAATAAAGTCATATATCAATTTGTCATAAAAAGATCATAGTATAGTTTGTCACACAGATGTCAAAGTAATCAAATCATGTTATAATATTCCATATAATCTCATAAAAAGTCACAGTACAGTTTGTCATAAAAAACTATTTAATAGTAAGTCACTAAAAAAGTCATAGAAGTAAGAGTATAGTATGCACAAAAGATGGCACGGTCTTTGCAACATCTCTGCAATGTTGTTATCAGCAGTATGCTTTTCTTCTGAGTCTCAGCTATTTTGGATGAACAGCTACTACTGAATTAAAAGCTTTGAAGGTAAAGTGCAATAACCTACAAGCTCCACCAGAGGGCCAGAAGGAAACACTCACACACTGGAGGAGAGGGGAAATCCTCATGTCCTTGCACAGCGCAGCAGTAGCTGGATGCAAAACCAAAGTGGCCTGAATATGAAGAGAATGTTTTTTTTGCAATTTTCAGCCCATTCTCATACCAGATGTAGGAAGAACCTTGTGGCAGGCGACAACTGGTGTAACACTGGAGCTTAGACCAGGAAGATGATTTCCACCCCTGCACCTGCACCTTCAGATCTGGATCTTTGAGGATAAAAAAAGTGTTTGTTATTTATCAAATACCCAAATCAAGGGTGAATATTAAAAAACAGATGAATATCAAATGATTGTTGTAATTATTAAGTTAATTACGGCGTAGTACTAACTTACTTTCAACATTTTAAAGGGGTAAGAAAATACATAGAATCATGCACTCATTATCAGTCGTACTATCTTCTATGTTATAAACATGCCACCTTAACTACTGTACCGTGTTGATTTAACATCAGTATGTGTTGATCAGTACCTGTGACAGTCAGAGTTGTTCCAGGTAAATCACTCCTCCATTCAAAGTTTTGTGTTTTGAATTTGAAGAGATACTGAGCTGAATCTGAGTCTCTCAGGTCAGAGATCCTCAGAGCAGCGCCTCTTCTCCATGGTGAAAGAACCACAACACGACCTGCATACTGGGAGTCTTCACTAAGGTCCTCAGGTTCTGAGGGATTCTGCCACTGATGATAACGCTCATGACTGAACCAGAATCCATCAGTGATAGATTCATAACTGCTGTACATGCAATAAATGTCCACTGATGATCCTTTGAAGGCACAGATGCTCCTGTCAGTGTGAATCACTTTGTTGCAGTTTTGACCGTCAACACCTGAAAGATAAACCATTTGTTAAACTGAGCTGATACAACTCACTCTCTCACAGCTGTAATACAGAGCAGGTTGTTGAGTTGCTTAAAGCAGAAGTGATCCTGGAGAGCGAGGGGCCAAAAATAAAAACTTAATATAAAAAGGGGAAGTGGGTTTATTGATATTCAAAGTAATTGTAATCATTGTGCCATGGCGTTCTGTTAGTGAAAGACAGTGGAGTAAACTCACACTGTGAAGGAGACGGGAAATCCTCATGTCCTTTAAGAGCGCAGGAATAGCTGTCAGCTGAATAAGAATTGACTGAAAAAGAAAATGTTTCTGCCCGAATTTTCTGTCCGTTCTTGAACCAGATGTAGGAAGGGCCATGAGGTAAAAGACATCTGCTGTGACACTGAAGCTTTGCTTTGGAAACACTCTGGTGGACTATTGATCCGATGACCTTGACTAGTAGATCTGGATCTGAGAAGGAAACAACAAATTAAATAATAAGGATCTATATTCATATAAATACCCCAAAGCATTCACAGCATCTATAATGGGTGTTTGTTTCTGCCTATGGTTAATTATATAGTAGCTATTGAATACAATAGAGACATTATCAACCACACACACACACACACACACACACACACACACACACACACACACACACACACACACACACACACACACACACACACACACATACACATACACATACACACACACACACACACACACACACACACACACACACACACATACACAGTGTGCAGGATTAGGTTGGAACACTTCCATTGCAGGAAATATCACACTAAGTTCTTTATCAAACATTCACAGCACAGTACACATTTAACATTTATATTAAAAAAAGTTACCTGTGACAGACAAAGTGACTCCTGGTGAAGCAGTATATGTATCGTAGTTTGTTATGAACATGAACCTGTACTCAGCTGAGTCGCTCTCTCTCAGGTTTCTGATTCTCAGAGTGCATCTGTTGTTTTCAAGGCAATACTCTACACGACCTGCATACTCTGAGTCTGTTAACAGATCTTCAGGTTCACCATTTTTCTTCTGAGTAAACCAGAAGGTTTTCTGTACTGTGTTTTCATGGCCATTTATTCTAGATGGGTATCTGTAGCTGCAGCTTATGTCCACTGTTGATCCTTTCACTGCACAGATCTCAGTAGAAGTGTAAGCCACTCCCCAGCCACGCTGACCCTGAACCACTGTAACACAGAGCACATCAGAAACTAATTCAGAAAAATGCTTAGTTAATATCAGTGAATTAGACAAAGTGGATCAAATGACTGATGTGATTTTGGGCAATGGAAACATAGACAAGCTTAAAATGACCGAACTATCAGCAGTGATTATCAAAAAGACATCCTGATAATGCGTCTATCTAACTATGCCTAAACTAGAATATAAAATACAAGTTTATATTATATTTGATCAGTTTTGGGTACATGGGAATTGTCAACAAATTGTTTAAAACGTGCATTTTGTGTCAACAAACCATTTATAGAAAGACATAAAGAGCATAAAAACATACAGAGACACACTGTCAAATGACCTACAATGATATACAAGTTCAACAGTCGATTGAAAATAATATATCTCTCTTCGAGGTGCTTTGAATAAGTGTGGTACAGGTTGTACAATGTTAATGTGGATATACATTACCTGGCATACAGAGAAGGAAGACAAAAAATCCACTCGCTGTTAAAATCATAGCGGCTCCTCTCGTCTCCGTGCGGCTATAAAATAAAGAAGATTGATGTCCACAAGAAAACAGTTCTACATCAACTTAAAGGAAGCTCTCTTGAACCTAAACGTCCTTCTGTGGGCTTGAGAGTGAAAAGGAGACTGAAAGCAGGTTCAAAAAAGCACTTCCTTCCTCTTTACATTATTTAAAAACACAGCTTGTTTTGCAAAAAAGGTGTTGTGGCCAAACGAAACCTTTATAAAGACCACCTCTCTTAGTTCTCATGTCTTTCTTTGTTGTAAAAGAAGGCTAAATTAAGTATCTAAATCAATGGTCTGTCAGTTCATCTCACTATTGAACAAACTAACTATACTTCTATCATTCACAAAGAGACAAGGGAAAGTTTGCAATATTACTTTTCACATCAAAGAAACTGCATCAACATCATGACATAAAAGATGCATTCTTTTATAATGTCTGCCATAAGTCAATTAGAAAATCTAAAGTAGAAAAGTCCATGAGTCAAAATAGATAACCAGTCTGCAGCACAAACTGCAGCTTAAAGTGGACCTATCATGCTATATTTGAATAATATAGTGTAGGACCATACCTATATAAGGCATATTTATACTTTTTTTTTTTCAAAATACCAAACAGATCATGCATTTTAGCCATGCCTCATTTCGCTCTATTTGACAATTTCTAGCTCAGTTTTAGCAAGGGCAGATTCAGTGAGAACAGCACCATCTACAGGCCTGGCATATGTACTACAGCGTCTCCAGCGCTTTCGAATGGCAATGGCCGTGGCTGTCTCCTCTTGATTGGTGGAGTTGGCCCAATAGCCGTAGCGCCACCGTCCTGACGTCAGGACAGTGTTCAAATCTGGATCAGTTTTTATCAGATCCGTTGCAGCCCCTTTTTTAGAGATTTGGGTATGGAGGAAAATAGAGAGGGTTGTGTTTTCTGACACTTGGTGAGTTCCCTGGAACACCGGGGACACATATTCATGTATACAAGACGTACAAAAGTGCATTTTGCATGATCGGTCCCCTTTAACTAAACTACATGTCCCACAATGATAAGCAGGACTTAGGCTGTGGGTGCAGTTTTGTTTGTCATAAATGTTTTTCTTTACTGTAATGGAAAAAAAGGAAAGACTAAATACGATAGCTGCCACAAATTAATAAAACATCACCAAACAGCTTCATTATTATAGCTTTTATTCAATGGTTTATTTTACAAAACAAATGAGTATGCCTAACATAACAAGAGCTCAAATAAAACGTACTGTTGACAAAGGTTTAAGTATAACATGATATAGCAAAACACATCGGTCTGCATACTCTTTATTTCAAATTGAAAGGTTGTCTCATGTTTTACAAGTTAATAAGTTAGTTACATTGCTATCTTTTTGGTAAAATGGAAAGTAAAAGCTATTTGGGTGTCTCTAATTCCCTCTGAATAATGATTTATAGAGTCGTATGTATCCACTCCGTGCTTAAACACCAATCCAGAGAACAAATAAAAGGTTTAAAAAGTGTGTCCTTGCTTCTGTACATTTCATTAAATAGGCCATTTAATATACATACATTATGTTTACAATAAAAGGCATTAAATAAGCTACATAGTCATTAGAGCCAACCCATGCTCAAACTCAACAACACACTAAAGTCATATATCTTCTCAGAAAGAAGCCAATAGGAGCCAGAGTGTTCCATAGGGATGTCACTATGTTAAGGAAGCAAACAAAGGAGTCCAATGGAGAAACTCCCTCTGGAGGGAACACATGGATGTTAGCCTTTGCAGACCATTTACATGCACACAAACCTAGAGAACACACTACAGTGAAGGGAAAACCCAATAGGGTCCCTTTAATAAAAATGATGGGCTGTAGATCCCTACTGTGTCCTGGTTTTGTTGATTGTGCTGTACAATGCAGTTGAGTCCTTTATGGCAGACATCTGACTTCTGTTTTTCAAAGAGAAACATTTATTTAGGAGTTTTGCAGATTAGATATCGTACAAATGGCCAAACAGTGGTTGGAAAACTAGTAAAATCACATCAGGCAGATGCAAAAGTGAACAGGTGTTGATTGTATTCCAAGTCATTTCATCGTTAAACTCAGGGTAATGTTCCTGTGAGAGTATCTACTCACCTCGGGGCAGCGCTGTTAAATTTGACCTCAGCGTACACAACACTATCCTCGATGTTGGAGGAGAGAGGATCTGCCTGGTTTTTGGAGAACTGGACACTGGCATAGAGAAGCTCCTCCGGAGGACTCTGAAGGGCAGATATTGCATAGACAAGATTACCTTAAAAGGGTTTGGGTCTGTGTTGTAGGGAATATGTGAAGGTTAAGAATACCCAATGGTCCCTAAAACAATCTTGAACTTTACTTGAAGTTCTGTCTTGGAGCGGCAGTAGCTCAGTGTGTTGGCTTGGGAACGGAACAATTGCTGATTCAAGTCCTGATTGGACCAAAAAAACTAAATGTAGACTCGTGCCAGTTTACCCTCTGGGACTCTTTTTCTACTTTTAATGCATCTTTTAAGACATAAAGAGCTTTTGTGTAGTCCAGCCATAAGATAAGATAAGATAAGATAAGATAAGACTTTATTTATCCCGAAGGAAATTGTTGTGCCAGAGCCACAAAAATACAACAAACACAGCAGCATAACAGCAAAACTGTACACTAAAAGTGCAGTAAAAAGAGCAATCAAACATCTACAGGAAACATAATTAATGCAAATATTACCAGTAATCAGTAGTGCAAAGAAATATATATATCTGAACTGAACTGTTGAAACCTTTTTTGCTTTTATTGATAATTATTCCTTCTCACCTGTTTGCTGTTGTCCGGTGGCTCTCCGGGTTCAGATGATGGCTTGGCAGCTTTCTTCTTCCTGGTTAGAATAATTAAACATTGAACTTTTAGAAATGTGCTAAACTGAACCTGTTAACCTGTTAACCTGTTAAGCTCTGAGCCTGTTTTTCAGGTCTCAGGCTCGAAAATGCCATTCCCAGAACAAATGACCATATCTTCCCTTCTAAAAGGGTTAAATTAATAATCTTTTTTCTCAAAGTAATGATAAACCTGTGCGTTTGATGTAGAAAAGTCAGAATCAATATAGATGTTTTTTATTTGAAAGAAAATTCAGATTTTACATAGTAAAAAAGTGTAATTATAGTGTCCGTCCAAATATTCTTTTTTACTTATAGTAAAAACTACCCTTGGATGATGGGTTAGTAGACTAAAAGCTTTAGGAATCCAAAGTACAACATATAATAAGTACCCTGTATGAAGATTGATGCAAAACAAGTAACATTTGACCTTTTTAGAGAGGTTTAGAAAAAGAAAAATAATATGAAATCTCCGTTTTTTACATAAAAATGTAATGATGGATTATCAGTAATCCTTTCAAAGTGACACAGACACATTGGATTAACCTATGGATTAACCTTCAGCAGCGTTTTTATCATTTTAATGCCATTGAACACGACTATTGATCAGAATAACAGCTAATTTGAGACGATCTCCCGTGAATGTTCCGTAATGCTACGTGTTATGACGTCTGTTTGCTTCCCCTGTCACGAGTTCTCATCGCTCAGTGATGATACCAATACCTATAGAATCTGTGGAATCTCAGCTTTAATCTGATATCTTGTTTTTGCAGTTATGATAAGTAATAAGGGTATTTTTACCTTGAGTTCTGTGCTAAGTGTGTTAGCATTTTTTCGCTCAGGGCTCATTTAGACGCTTCTTGTGAGACTTGTGTTTTGTTTCGGTAAAAATGGTTCATATTGTCAGTTAGCTGAGTTTCTTCCCGTTAAATGGGTATGACACATTAATAGGTTTTTAAATATTAAGAAGCCCTGAGACACAGTTTCGTGAAGAAACACCCCACTGCTCTAGGGCTTAACAGTTAATGAAGACAATATTTTTCATGAAACCTGGGTATTTGTATTGGTCATTATCCTTTCCTAATAACACAATGCAGTCAAATATCCAAGATAATTGCTGACTTCTGGAAAGCACTAAATTATACAAACACACACGTTTGAACTATTTCATGGTGTTCCTGATTGTGGGACCTGTTTTCATAAAAGAAACTCAGACTCATTGTTACATTTCAAGACCAAACTCCTTTCTGCTTTCACATTCCCACACGTAACCCTCCATCTTGCGGTAAACATTACATTACATGACATTTCACTTGTTAGATGCTTTTATCCAAAGTGACTTACATACTCTCAATACTGTGGACAATCTCCACAGGTGCAATTTGGGGTGAAGTATCCAATTACGATAAGTTGACTGCAGTGGGAGTGTAACCAGCGCTATCCCACTGCGCAACAGCCTCCCTAACTAATCTTTAATACTGTAGGATATGAGGATCACATTTCTGAAAATTCAGTCTGACAGTGAGTTTGAAGAAGAGGAAGAGATTGAAATGAGGTATAACTTTACAGTGTTGTCCTAATTTACATATTTGATTGCCCAATATTATCAAAAGTATCCAGCATACCATGTTTAGTGCTTTCACTAAACATTACCTTAATGAAAGTGGACTGCTTACCTAATCAATACAAATATAGAGAGGAGGATGACTGTCAGAACAACAGCAGTGGTGATTCCAGCAGCTCTAGATTTCAATGCTCCTATGATAAGACGAAAAAAACACAAAAAGCAGTTATTAAAGCTTTCATGAATATAATATGAAAAGAAAAACCTAGATCTTACCATTCAATACCTTTTCAAAAAATATTGAGCATGATCAGAAACAGAGCTCAGAAAAACCTTTTTTGTTTGTGTATTTTCAAAAGATTCCCACCTCTTTCCCTTGTCAACTGCCTCCAGGACATCAAAAACTGGATGTCATCAAACCTGCTAAAAATAAACAGCAACAAAACTGTGCTCATCATTGTGGCTCCCAAGGCACAGCTCCAGAAGGTTGGTGACCTGCTTCTCACCATTGACGGCTGCTCCATCTCCCCGTCCACTGAAGTCCGCAACCTGGGAGTCATCCTGGACTCCACCCTCTCTTTCCAGGCGCATATCAAATCTATTACCAAATCCGCCTTCTACCATCTCAAAAACATTGCCAGACTCCGCCCCTCACTCTCTGACTCAGTGGCAGAA